AATATCGTAATATTTTATATAGTGGTATCTATCTTATAATAAAAGTTCTAAATTTTTTTTCTGATTGCAGCAACATCTAAATTTCTAAACTTTACGACATTGCCGCAAGTGCAATTCCTCCAAACTAAGCAAAAGTTGTATCAAATGTAAGATTTTACCGTTTGTATTACCTTTTGCAAAGTTGTTTTATATGGTTTAAGTATCTCATGATCAATTGAAGGACAACTGCTACATTCAATGACGTTGTATATGTATAAGACGAAGTAGAATCTGAATGCGAAAAGGACTACTTGGATGACGACAATTGAACTTCTAATTTTACACGCCGTCGCTAAGTTGAAGATCGCAATATTTAGATTTAATCTGAAACGTAAAGAGTGAATGTCATAGACTGTAGAGCGAATGTTAGGAAAGACCAGAAGAAAAGCACCTATACGTATATTAGAAAACAGATTTTTTAATAAAACTTTCTACCATAAGGACGCAATGCAACGTAAAAATTATTGTCTGCGTTGACTAATTTCAACGGCCAGACACTTTTTAGATATTCTGGAGTTATCGAGCCGTACTGTAAGGTCTTTTCAACTTGAAAAGCTCTTAGACTTTTATCAAACACAACAACTTTTAATTTTGCGCATCCTTAGAACGGTTGACCTCTGATGATAAATACGTTCAATATCTGTAGAAATTCAAGATCATTTGCTAAATAGTTGTCAGATAGACAAACAATTGCTCCGATTGGATACAAAATTGAATAAATTGAATACTCGACGCAACATGTGTCGGTAAATCGGGCAGTTTCCATTGATCGATGTTTAAGCGTAAATCGTCACTTAATGGTTGAGATTGAGAGAAAATAGTATCGTGTTTAAAAAGATTACATGCTAATGTTCCATCATCGTTATGATCTTTAACACATTCCCACGCTGGTAATCGCTTTGTAACTGTTAATGCCGGATTTTTGAACATCGCATTTTAATTCCCTTGGCGTACTGATGTTTCCGTTCCGAAGTTAGTGTTGTTAAATATCGTAGTGGTCCAAATAATTTCATCTGACGTGAGAAATGCAGTAAGGAATGGAATTTGGGCTTAATGTTTGCTGGATACAGATGTTTGTATAACTTGTTATGTTTTATAATGGATTCTTGTAATTCTAAAACAGTTTGATCATCTGCTTCAGATGATCATGTTAAGTTCACAATATCGACCAGGAGTAATATGGCTTCATATGCCGGAATTTGTGAGTTTTTCAGAAGTTTTCGTAAAATATAGGGGAGATTCATAAATAAATAATACATCTGCATTGCGTCGAGAGGAAAACCTAGAAGGTAAAGTTACAGGTATTTTCATGGTTTTTCTCTAAACAACATGATACCCGAAGCCCAATTTTTTAAATCTTCGATTGTAATATTCATTGATGGTTTCGATAACCTTTCACTTCCACTATATGGAAATTCATTAAAACCTTTACAAAATTGAGGTAATGTAAAACGATTCGTTTCGACACAATTTTGAAGAAATGCATTCAAATGATATTTACAAATACCTGAAATTAAAAGAAGAATTGCGCGGCATCTTTCTGTTCAATGTACGAAAAGCAGTGGGTACTACCGTGAAAATCGCAAGTACCTTGTAGTAATATATGCATGGGATCTAGTAGAACTTGGAATGTAACATCGAAATTTGACAATAAAGAGAAAATGTTTTGATTATTGATTCCGTAATGCGTTTGCCAAAATGATGTATTCAATATACACTAGCATAATTCTTACTGAATAAACTATCGTAAACTTATTTTATGTTTCGACATTCTTTTAGTTATGTCTCACTTTTAATGAAACTGCCGCTTATAACTTAGACCCAACGTCTAAGAATGCATGAAAGGAAGGACTTTTTCTCAATGGCCGTTAGATCACATACACTATATGATTCATTTTCTTTCGTTACTTCTCATTGATCGCATAGAAACCATAGATTAAATTTGCCTTGAAAAACACACGTAGAAAATAGCGCCATTTCAAAACTGAATTTGAATCGAATAAAAGTTAGCTGCCTAACGTTTTAAACATCCCTTATTCTAATACACTACTGGGTTTTGCTTAAAATCCTCCGTATAGAAACATGATTCAGCGCTAATGGTAAAAGACTAAAAAACGAAGAGGCATATTCAGGTATGAGTTATCTATTCCTTTTTGCAACTAAAAAGATATCGGGATAAATTGCCCCCGATCATAGTGACATCTCTCGGAAAGAAATAGATGGAGCTGAACACAAAATTCCACCGCACCGTTTTATTTTATTTATTTTCGACCTAATTTATTTATTTAAGGCACATTTGACACACAAAACGACAACTGGCTACACATGCAGGACAATGTTCCCCTTATACATCAAAATTTGCTATGAATTATTTTGATAGAAACAATATTCCGCTCACGGCCGGCTTCATCTCTTGATCTTAACCGGGTCGAAATTTTGTGGAATATGATCGCCTCAAAAGCATGCGGTCAAAGAACCTGACAGACCTGAAAAAGATGATCAAGCAAATGTCGATGGATTTTAGCCCGGAAAATTGAAAAAAATTGGTTGAGTCGATACCACGTCTAGTGAAACACTGCCGGATGGCCACAGGAGGACCAGTGAGTAAATACTGATAAACATTGAACAGTTGTTTTGATGAAAGCTTTTGACGAGTCTACAATTTTGCACAGACAAAAAACTGTGACTTTTTGAAAGTATTTTTTTATTTAATAACCTAAGTCAGATAATAAATACGAATGGAAGTGCTCTACAAAACCCAAATAGGGGCTTTTTGAAATGACGCTTAACAAACGCACGCAAAGTCGAACAATTCGTAAATATGGAATGAGTCAATAACTTTGCACACCACTGTAGATTAAATTACTATTGTCAGTTAAAAAAAAGAATGAACTCGAGTGTTTTTTGAATAACGTTTGACAAGAAAGCGATAGAGACTTCCGGTTTTCACTAATTGAAAGCCAAGACCTGACTGCATTTTTTCATCATTGAAGTCATTTTGAATCTTTTTTTCCAAAGTAGGTTTTCCAGAGGATCTTTTGAAAACCAGACCATCACCCGAAAAACTTGAAATATAAATATTTTGATTTTTTCACATGGGTATATAGCCCAAAGTGTCCTCTTCAATATGGAAGACAAGCGAGGTATTGATTTTCAATGGTTGATTTTCAATCCTATTTATAAAAAGAAACTTAGAAAAAAATCTACAAAGTCCAATGATTTTCCGAAAGAGTTTCGAAAAAACCTTTGAACAAAAATATCGTTTTCCATTTTTCCGATCGTATAAACACGTTTAGCGACCAAAATTAATCTTATCCTGGAATTGTGAAGTCAGTCTGATGCCTTTTAAGTGAATTGTGAATTTTTTAATATTAGATGAAAACAGTCTGGAAACCGCAGTTGTTGTAAAATTCGGTTTTCACTAGATTTTTGAGTTCTTTCTCAAAAACAGACATTGCCACTAGATTCAGCATGGTCGATTACGTATGTTTCATGCGATTTCAAGGCTACGCTAAGTCACCAGATACTAGTCCTTGGACTCCAAGAAAATCCAATATACCGCCCGAACCATTGAAAATCAATGCCTCGCTTGTCTTCCATCTTCCATATTGAAGAGGACGCTTTGGGCTATATACCAATGTGAAAAAATCAAAATATTTATATTTCAAGTTTTTCCGGTGATGGCCGGATTGATTTAAACTATATTTATTTAAAGATAAAGAAACCCTAACCCTGGAACTAAAGCGGCAAATTGCCATTACATAGTTCAAGGAGTTATTTTACAAGGTGTTACTCTTTTCCATAAGAAAAACAACAAAAAAATAAAATAAACTAAATAAAGGTGAAAGAAGAGAAAAAAGGCTGCGGGTACAGTGAATAGATGAAGCGGCGGGATAGGAAAGAGAGAATGTTGATCATTGTCTATTTACCACTCCGAAACGCTCTGTTTTTTGTATATACTTTATAATGATGTAGTAAAGATCTTTGTACAAGTTTGGTTCAAATTGTCTTCTGAGTAGTAATGTGTCCAAG